AATGGATGCACGCATGGCTCGCATAGACAGCTTTTTCCTAGTTTCAATCACACCTTTCCTTCCTATAACCATAGATGCAACCTTTCTTTTAACATCTCCTCCACCTTGATAGCCTATACTCTGTTTGAAGAGATGGGTCAAATATTGCCAAAATTCAGTCTCTGAAGTTGCAGACAGATATCGCTCGCTTTCGCTGACACGTAAGCGGATAAGCTTCAACTTTAGCTCTGGAGTATAATAGATTTTTTTCCTTGCTTTTCTTGCTCTTCTGCTTCCTGTTTGGTGGGATCTTGAGTCGCGTGCTCTTGTTGGGGAGGATCTTGAGTCGCGTGCTCTTGTTGGGGGGGATCTTGAGTTGCGTTCTCTTGTTGGGTGGGATGCTCAAGGCTCGATTGCGCCCTCTCAGGTGTTTGCGACCATTCAAATGCAGAGAATTGAGATGCCGACATTATAGATCTTAGGGTGTATATATCTGATCGAGACAGCAATATGTAGAGTGGATGAAAGAAATTTTTGATATTGGGATAATGCACTTTACCATTTTTAGACATTTGTGATAGTAGTAAACAAAACGGTAGTATATTGGTCTAGCTACATCGCGATCATATCTCCAGATCGCTGTTGTCATACTGCACGAACCCTGTATGTGACGAGATTTAGTTGCATTGCTGTAGTTACCAGGTAAAATCCCTCTGCCGGTAATGGACACTAGAGCAAAGAGCATCTTCTAGTGGGTGTAGGGCATGCAGACCCCCCCTCGAACAAGCATGTGCCAAGCTTTAGCGCTCTGAAGGATCTGATAAGGGCTTACTTCTCGCTAATAATCAATATAAAGGCAGCATCAACATGCAATTTTTGTATTAATCAACATAAATTCTAACCAGGTTGACCTCTGCTACTTACCCTCAATACCATTCACCCAACACAGAAAGTGAAGCCTTCTACCGAGTCGGTTACGGATTCATTTGTCGCAGAGATAGAAGCTTCTCCCGTAGGAGAAATGTCATGAAACCTCTTCCATTATAAGTTATATTGTTCTTATATATATATTGTAATTCATATTATCTCTTGTATTTGTGACTGTATTGTATAAGAAATAGGGTTACAATACAAATCTATATTGTATTTACATCTATTATAGGGTTTCTCCATTTCTTAGGTCTGGGACTTATAGGATGTAGAGTTTAAAGGCTATAGGTGAGACGGTAGTCTGGGTGCCAGACTAGGAAGATAGGTAGCCAGAGTAGATTAGGGAAGATATAAGGCAGACAGGGTTATTATTGACAAGCCTCACGGCAAGAACATGGTTGAGGAAACAAATGAAGTTGAGGCTAGAGAGGATTACCCTGAACTACCATACCTATAACTATATTACATAACTAAGACTCACGTGCCCATTAAACGATCAAGAGACCTGCAAGCCTATTTTCTTAAGTTGACGGCAGCTGCGATGTGGCCTCCTACGGCGCCGTTTAGGGATGCTATTGGGGATATGGCTAAGGGCTTTAGAGTGTTGGCTTTGAGGACGTGTTGGGCAGATGTGGTGGTGGGGTTGGCGGAAGGGGTCGATGAGAGGTTGAAGAAACAGACAGGGATACCGGGGAGGCGGAGATGGTTCAGTTTTCAGATGGGAAGAATCAGGTGTAAACAAGAGGGGGTTAAAGTTTGGTGATTTGACGGCACTCGGGTTCCATGATAGAAAATCAAAAGAAATGTCAAAAAGCGTAATGTGCTTGCATTGTTTTGAGTTCTAGATTACACCTTTATCGAGTTACCCTGACCTCATCCAGAGCTACTGTGGTGCCTAAAGTAAATGGGGTATTAATTACAGTCTCATGCTGCGTATGCCCGGAATCGAGAAGTACTTACTTTTCTAGATAACGAAACTAATTAGCTAGGCGGATCCGAAAGATTAACCCTCGGATCAACCTGGCTAAGCCTAGTCCAGTATCAGTGTATGATTCCTCTCAACGTTAATCTGATAGAGTTGCTACTTGCAAAAGGGAAACTACAATTTTATCAACGTAAGTGGTGAGGTCTTTTTATTTATTATATGTTTTTTTCATGACATCCACACTCTAGGGCGCCCCTTAAACCCTAGAAGCATGTGCTCCTGAGAGCAGGATGAGGAGGAAACTCTACAAGGTTGCCAATTGGGAAACTTAGAAATGGTCAGCTGAATATCCACCAAAGCTCGCAATTCAACACCAGCTTGAGCAAATAGATAGCGACGTGGTTTTGCCAAAGGGATATATAAGTATATATTATTTGATTCGGATCTCTCAATTCTATACAAATCTTTTGTCCCCAGATGCAAGTACTAGCACGTCGCCATGAGATACCCTCGTTTTCAGCCTCCTACTGCGGAGTCGCGGCAGGCGAGGGGGCAGTTGCGGGCAACGCTCGCTGTCTGTCTGGAAATTGGCTGAATTCAACCGCAATTGTCAGTTCAGACCATACTCAGGAATTCAAAAGATTATCAAACAATAGCTCACCCGCTATTAATCTGCATATTACTCAGCGCTGGGGTATTAGCCCTGCTTGGTCGGTTCGAAGCTGCATTATTTGGTCTAAATACATTTGCATCGCGCTCTCCAGGTCGAGTAATATCCACCGCATTGGCTCCACGGGCTCCAGAACCAGAACCAGAACCAGAACCAGAACTATGACTATGGCTAGCCCCCGAGATTCTGTCATTTTGATTTTGAGGCGGTGGGGGTGGTGCTGTATTGCGATATGGGGTGTTGGGGCGAGCATCAATACCACTGGCATGTTCATCGTAGGTGTTGTAGAGATCCTTAGCCAGGTCAATTGTGATCTGCTCGGGGTCAGCTTGAGATTTGGCATCTGAAGGCAGATGTGGATGAAGCATTCCGAGGGGCTTATACGTACTAAGGAGTAGTCAACGGGGCTGCGAGGCAATAAGGTATCAAGTATCCTTTGTACCGGAATGATTACTGGTGAACCCGAAACTGGTACTGCGAGTCTCCCCTGCATTGGGGCACTGTTGACAGGGACAAGGTAGGTGGTCAGGCAGCTGAGGACCGCAATACAAGGTTGAATATGAAAACGCATCTTGAGTGTCAGAAGTACAGTCCACGTAGTTCATGAGGTTGATATTGCGATGTATTGCAATTGCTCACGTAGATTTAGAACCACAAACCCACTGTTGTTCTTATATGCTACATTCGTGACTGTTCCTCCAGCGCCTCGTCCACCACGGTATATAGCGCAACGTTTCTCAAAGTCTATGTAGAACATGACAGTTTCAACAATTAACGGAGACTACCGAGGTGAAAAATTCGGCTAAATACCGCATCGGAGAAGTCAGTAATCTCAACAACAGCCCTATGACGAACCCTGTCGCGTGAAACATTAGTACACTACCGCTTTGGGTAGTAGCCGACCCAATTTGAAAGTATTCCATTCCGCCATTGATCCTATGGCGGACATTTGTTGCTTGACAAAAACTAACAAGTTCATATTCAGGAAGACTCTGAATGCCAACTCTGCATCGCATTGAGTGTTTGTAGACTGTTGTGCCATGAGTGAGGTAAAAGTTTCATTTTTAATACCTGCTCAGCCCAGAAGGTCGGATAAATAGAGTATAATTTAGAGGGTATATTGACATTTCGGAACTTTCAGCATCAGCAAAGACCCTACCTATTCTCTGTTCGTTGCTCTGAGAAAACTTGGTAAGAATAAGCAAGAGAGGATTATGAGGGCATGTATGTACATGATGAAACATGCCCCCTGTGAGTTGTTGGGATTCGACATCTAGGCTCCATTAAAGCAATCAGACGCTCCATTGAGAAGTCAACCTCATGGTTGAGGATGACATCGCCCCACACAGCGTGCCATTCCCATTTTGTACCGAATATCCTTTCTCTATGAGAGAGTAAGCTACTCGGGGATCAGGGTCGTGGTTCTTTAATTCCTGTGTTGAACCCAGAATGGCGGTGATGAAGGAGAATGCTGTTAAGCGAACGAAAGGCTGGGGCCCTTCTACATGAAAATATGAATGTGTCATTAGGGTTTACCTTGCCATTACACCGCCCTTGGTCGGTTTAAGAACCATTCAGAGCATTCCTCTCCTGCTGCTCTGTATTTCCAGGCTCTAAATTACAGCTTGCAATGGATTTCCTTGACAGGGAGCTAGGGGGATTCACCCATTATCATGTGCTTTTGCTACTCGGCTCTCGTGCAGTTGAAAGAGCACTGCTCGAGCAGAGAACATGTCAATCTAGTTGAGCTAGTGGATGTGATAGTGGTGATTGTTTCATCTGGATGTGTACAGTAGCTGGATGCTGGGGGCGGAGATGAGCATTGAGTCGAGATTCTCGCAGGACAGGGTGGTTACTAGTCTGGTTGCACGTACGCTGGTTGGCTAGTCTCGAACTCTAGCTCTCCTGTCATAGCCTGCCAGCTAGGCAAGCAGATATTCACCTAGTATCGATAAAGTTTCTTGATGATACCACCTTTGGCCGGTTAGCATGAGGTTAGCTGATTAGTCATGTACGAACTAGGCTTGTAGTTTAGACACAGGATGCTCTCATCGAGGGCATCATCATGACATGCACGAGATAGACATTCCTGAGTTCTATCAATCCGTGGGCAAAAGTCTTGGTGAAACACAATTTTGAGTACAACAACCAGATGTCGCTAAGTTCTGAAATGGAATATGAGATAAGTACAGGTAGTAAAGAAGTAAAATCCAAGATGTCAGGACAATTAAAGGAAAAATTGCAAATGAGGTGAAAGTTAGAGCTGTGGCTAGTAGCGAGTGTACCAGCCCTTAGCCGCAATCACAGCTGCCACACGGTCAGGCATGCTCCTCCACAACGACTCAAATACAAACTCAGCAAGCCTAGCACGTACTGCATCTGGCTCTCCAGGGGTATTGGAGATGTCAGGGTACCTTTTATGCAGGTACCGTCCAGACTAGCTCTTGAATCTGTTAAAAACTTGCGTCTCTTGAATCAGCAAAACAAAAGAAATTGTGGTCACGGTGAGACTCGAACTCACAACCTTCACGTTTTTAGCATGATGCTCTACCTCGTACCTATACATATAAGTTTTATTTTTTTTTTTATTATCTTTTTTATATTTATCACAGGTGGACAAAATCGGAGTTTTCATCATGGAATGAATAGGAGTGTCGATGTGACAAGGGCTACTACATGCAGGTAAAAACTTGCGTCTCTTTGAATCAGCAAAACAAAAGAAATTGTGGTCACGGTGAGACTCGAACTCACAACCTTCACGTTTTTAGCATGATGCTCTACCGATTAAGCCACACGACCTCGTACCTGTACATATTAAGTTTTCTTGTTTTTTTTGATCTCTTTTTATATTAATTACAGGTGAACAAAATCTCATGTAGATTGATGGACGCACAATACAAGGGAGTTTTCATCATGGTATGAAGAGGAGTGTCGATGTGACAAGGACTACATGCCTCCTGGAGGGTGTTGTGCCAACCAGACTAGACTACATGCAGGTACTTTAGGGCGTTTCTTAGCTAGCCACTTTCGTAGGCCATTCTCTCGGATGTAACGTAGTCTGGTTGGCACAACCCCCCCGGAACGGGGATGTGACGGTCTAGTGTATCTAGCGAAACATGGGCTGCCGAATTTGCTCCTAGTCCATGTTTTATTCTTCTTTACACATCGAAGTATAGCTCTCCAGCCACATTTTGCTGAGCTTCTTGGGTCTGCCGGACCTAGGAGCATTTTCAATATACCCCGCACAGCTGTCCAATTTAGGAAACTCTTGATGGTTCGTCTAGAGATCTTCGAAATTGCTGCTATTGTATATTGAAGATGAAAAAGAACGAGGATAATACCTCGTTCTACTATGGTCATCTCACGTGGAGGCATCGTTATTGCAGTACATATGCTGCTTGGTAACGTTGGTTGCCGGGTCCCCAAATTCACATTTTTTCCCCGCGCTACGGAGGACTCGTGCACTTTAGCAATTATTAAGGAGGCATTGATCAAAAGCGCCAGACCACGTAGATCAAAAGGCCGGTGTGAGTCAGATAGAGACTTCGACGGTACTTTACTAAAGCCAATCTCTATACCTCCACTCCGATGATATGAGACCGGTATCTATCTTGCCTTCAAAACAGCTGCCTGGGATAGGCTACATACATAGCTGTGAAATACTCTGGTCTCTTGCAACCACATGTAACCATTATTCCAAGATTCATATTCATAGGTGAGCAGCAGGAACCAGTATCATACCCCAAACTCGGTGCCATTACGTTTACTTGCGTGACTCTCTAACATAGATCTGCGAACTAGATCCATAATAAGTTATGCAGCTGATTAGGCCTGTACAAAGAAGATTTGTGCCATGGAAATGAGGACCAAAGGAATTGGAAATGAGTGATGGTATATACCCCGGCTGTTAAAGGGCAGGCTTCTTAGTCCGGGCCTTCTTCGAAAACAGAGAGCTTAGCTAGGATATCGGGGCGTCCTAACCCCCCTATGAGCCTCTCACGACGTAGCCCAACGACGTAGCCCAACGACGTAGCCCAACGACGTAGCCCAACGACGTAGCCCAACGACGTAGCCCAAGGAAGGCATAGACTTCCGAACCTCCGGATACATGCTTGCAAATCAACATACTTGCGAATCAATGACGCCTTCATATGACCTAGCCTTAGCCCTTCAGGCATCGCTCACGATCCTCCATGAGAAGCAGTTATCCCATAAGCCAATACGACCTAGCCCCAGCCCTTCAAGCATCGCTAGAACGGTACACACACTTCCTTGTTCCGGCCAGTCTCTCCACTAACCCGGCCCCGCAGATCTAGAGGGCCCATTGCTAGACCTGCTGTGGGTGATCAGTCCACGTCGTTGGCCTCAGCGGCTATCGGCTTCGGTTTTCCGCCTCTGCGTAGACCACCCTCATGTGAGATTCGTAACACCGGCCGAGACTTCTGACAGACGAGGGGAAAGTGCTGAAGCCGACTATGGCTAACTGGGTGTAATCTTCTTTCTACGCCGCGAAGAGCCCGTACCTCTACCTAGGAAGTTGTTGGCCTTGCTGCTGATGGTGTGGCCCAATGATGCCCGCCGCACCTCTGCATGCCTCTCACGAATCAAAATTCTCTTCATGATTCATACCGTGTCGGGCATCTTCCTTGACTATCAAATCCAGGTGGCCAAGCTGTTCTACTACCGGTCATAAACAAGGGGCGCCGTTTGGGCACTACCTTAAGTACTTGATACGAAATTATATATCCTGGCCCTTGGTACGTCCTAGAATCACACCGAATACCCCGGACAAAGTCAAATAAGACTGACTGTGAGGGGTGCATTATGTACTTACCATTCAGTCATGTCACGATGGCACTGGAGGAGGGGCTTGCAGCTGGCACATCTGACAGGGCTGATGGCAGTTTGAAGCCGGGGGGGCTTCCTCTAGAGCTCGTGAGTGGCGTAAGCTAGACATAATGGCGAAGTTAAGCTCTGCAGGAGAACTGAAAACTTACAGTGTTTTCTCAGTGGATGTATACAAATGGCTTTGGGCTATGTGGGCTCCTCAAATTGATAGCTTCTACTAAACATATGCTGAGCCATTATGTCTAGTTCGTGACCGATAGAGGTCGCAGAGGGTCGCGGAGGAAGGGGTTATTTCTGTATTAGTGATTTCTTTGGCTCGGCGTTAAGGCAACATGTAGTTGTTCTGTGAGAGTACCGAGCCTGTTTTAAGGTGAGGAGGGTACGGGGCCGTCTCATAGCCTTAGGCTCCATAGACGTATAGTTTCAAAAAAAAAAAAAAAAAAGAACAGTCAACTTACTGAGAGATTACTTCTCGCCTTTTCCCTTCCTCCCAACCCTGAACTCCTTATTACAATCACCCGGGGATTTCAGACACGCCCAATGATTTTCTACCAGTTGGATGAACTCCTCCATGGATTTCGTGTCTCCCTTCAGAGCTTTCATCATAGACTAGGTATGTCTCTTCTATGAAAATTGCTTGAGTCTGTCCAAACTTACGATTCATCGTACTTTCCAAAGAGCTCAGTTCTTGTTCCAGCTCGACTTTGTTGTCGTTCATCTCTTTTCTCAATGTATCCATTATTTTCTTGTTTCCATAAACCTGGTTAGCAATGATAATGGCAGATGAAGAGGATACTCAGTTAGTAAACTGCAGGTTTATCAGTTTCTGGAACAAAAACCCACTAAGAATATTTCTTCCGCTTGGAGTCAACCATTGTTACGAAGTGTTTGCAAGTACTAAACCTATATGAGTAACTTCACTTATACCTAGATATCACAAGAACCCACTGTCAAAAACTACTTCAGCTGTGCTTTGCTTCCGTTGTATACACTCAACGATAAATCTGCATTTCCATCAACATCCATACTGAAGCCTAGCTGAACGACTGTATACCAGAACTGAATCGAAAGCTGCACTTAGGTAATCCACCTCTACCGGTACTGAATGTGTATACATCACAGACTTATACATCACTAACACTTTTCTTTTTTTTTTTTTTTATATACTCCTTACCTACTCCTATTCGATCCCAATAAGGGGACCATGAGGAGCCACCCGGAAGAAGCCCGGGTGGATTCAAGAACAGGCAAGTTACCTAGTCTGCCAGGTCCAACGCTAGATACATATAACATCTGAAGGCCCAAAAGGCGAAAGCAAAATCAGAGTACTGAAAGAGGTGAGAAACAAAACGCTGTCATTAACCGGCTAGATGCCAGATGACTCCAAGAGGCCTGACTGAGATCTGCGCTAATGAAAAAATCGAAAAACCATAAGCGAGTAACAGTCGACAATCGAATTCAAAACACTACAAAACCGTCTCTCAAGGGCCGTCCGGCCAAACGTCTTTAAAGGAAGCCGAAGAACGCTTTCACCGCATCCCAATAATCATCTCCATCCTCCTCTTGAATCCATATGGAACGATCCAGATCGCCCCAGTCTTTGATGCTGCCGGAAGGCCTGGCAGTCAAAAGTTGATGTGTCTGCTATTTTGTGTATGATAGCCGCATTGGCATGCTGCTGAATCCGCTTTTCCGATCTTGTGGAGCCATTGCTTTTGGGGCCCTCTGACCGTTCGTAGACAGGTGTAAGCCGACATAGTTACATCACTAACACGGCTTACCTAGCATACCTGGCGTGCCCGGCACACTTCACACGGCACCTTCACTACAGAGGCTCACCCAGGCTCAGCCGGCTCGGTACCAGTTCCCTACTTTGCGCTCCCCAATCCCACTCTGATAATCCACGCGCTCCCAGGGCTGGCTAATCCTGACTTTGCTTCCTACACACTCTCAGCTGTGGCTACACTAGCTCGACGCCCCTCCAATTCCACAGCTAATCTAACGTGCTCCCAGCTAATCTACGTGTCTGGCATCACTACCAGGCTCTGTCAGCTCTGGCTACACTACCTACGCACTCCTAGCTCTGACATCACTACCTAGGCTCTGCCAGCTCTGGGCTACACTACCTATACCTATACGCGCTCCCAGCTCTGGCTTAGCTGGCAGCCTGGCAGAGCCTAGGTAGTGATGTCAGAGCTGGGAGCGCCGGAGCTGGCAGAGCCTAGGCAGTGATGTCACTGCTGGAAGCGTGTAGGTAGAAAGCCAGAGCTGCTGGGAGCGCGTGGATTAGCAGAGTGGGACAGGGGAGCGTGGAATAGATACCTGTGCATATGTAGCAGTGAACTGGTACCGAACCGGCAGAGCCTGATGAATGCCGTAGGGGCCGTGATTAGTGTGTGCTGTGTGAAAGTGAAGGGTGCCAGGTGTGAGGTGAAGGGTGTCGAGTGTGCCAGGTATGCCGTGTGAGCTAGGTGTGCCATGTGAGTAATGTATGTGCGTCAGCATTGGATTACCGTAAGAACTCGTGGACAAGAAAGTAATAATGTATAAGGGGGTATCCTCGAATAAGGCAGGCAAAATCATGATGCTCCGACCAGATTTGCTATGGGTATGGATGGAGTTCTCACGTTGAGGGGTGGTCTGGCAACCGAAGCCGATAGCTGCCGACGCGGACTGATCACCCATAGCCTAGCAGGTCTAGCAATAATGCGGCCCTCTAA